CAAATAATATAAGGTTACTCTGAAAAAAGTGTGTTTAGACATCATTGTTTTGTGTTAAAAAGTGCTTCTAGTAGGTACAATATTATGCCTAATTTTTAAGGTTAAAACGGCATTATAGAGAAAAATGTTTCATCCACGACCCCTCCATTTGTGGGTATTTTACCCACTTCTAGCACTTTTTAGCACATTTGAAAGATAGTAGGCTAAAAGGCCTAAACACATTTTTTTTCAGAAACACCCTGTATGTAAATTAGGTTTTCAGAGACACCCTGTATATATATTAGGTTTTCAGAGACACCCTGTATATATATTAGGTTTTCAGAGACACCCTGTATATATATATTAGGTTTTCAGAGACACCCTGTATATATATTAGGTTTTCAGAGACACCCTGTATATATATAAGGTTTTCAGAGACACCCTGTATATATATTGGGTTTTCAGAGATACCCTGTATATATGTTAGGTTTTCAGAGACACCCTGTATATATGTTAGGTTTTCAGAGACACCCTGAATATATATTAGGTTTTCAGAGATACCCTGTATATATATTAGATTTTCAGAGACACCCTGTACATATGTTAGGTTTTCAGAGACACCTGTATATATATTAGGTTTTCAGAGACACCCTGTATATATATTAGGTTTTCAGAGATACCCTGTATATATATTAGGTTTTCAGAGACACCCTGTATATATGTTAGGTTTTCAGAGACACCCTGTATATATATTAGGTTTTCAGAGACACTACCCTGTATATATGTTAGGTTTTCAGAGACACCCTGTATATATGTTAGGTTTTCAGAGACACCCTGTATATATATTAGGTTTTCAGAGACACTCTGTATATATATATATTAGGTTTTCAGAGATACCCTGTATATATATATATTAGGTTTTCAGAAACACCCTGTATACATATTAGGTTTTCAGAGACACTCTGTATATATATTAGGTTTTCAGAGACACCCTGTATATATATTAGGTTTTCAGAGACACCCTGTATATATATATATTAGGTTTTCAGAAACACCCTGTATATATATTAGGTTTTCAAAATTGTAAACCTCTTGTTTCTATCTTAACATTACTTCTTTAATAATCACATCACTATTCACCATTTTACGAATTTTACCGTACATGTCGCTTTAAAACTAAAATATTTTTTGCTGCTAATTTTTGAAAAAGAAATAAAATTGTAAATTTAGCTTATTTCTATATTATATTGAAAAAGTTTACATATCACAGATACTTTAACTCGGGTAAAATTAAATTTAGAAAAGTACCATAAAACTGATTTTAAAAGCCATATAATAAAGCAATTTTTTTTCCTCCAAAATATACAAATAATTTTAAAACCCTAAAAATTATTAGTGTTATAATACCATATATAAATAAATATCATTAATGAGAGACCAAAACATTAAACAATGTAAACAGTCCCTATAAGAAGTTTGAAAAATATATTCACATTGAGTATTTTGTTCCCTTCAATTTATCCGAAGAATTCCCTTGTGCAAAGATACTATGGAGGAAGAATATCCTGAATTTGACACAGGCTGAAAGGGACTGAAAAAATTCATACCGAGAGATTCTTTTTATTCCTCTCTATATATTCTATTCTCTATGGTAAAATGCCCATAAATGATTGGGGTGTTGACGTTAAAATAGTTTACTCTAAAATGCATTCTTTTACGTCATTTATTTTTTCAATCCTCAATTCTATCATTGAAAACTAAATCTATTCTATTCTATTGTTTGAAACGTATCAACAAGATTATAATTTAAATTTTTGTTCATAAAGAAGACACTTCAGAACTTAATCTGGTAATTTGGGCGGCTTAAGTCTTCCTCCCCACGTACATCCATGAAATCATCTCTGGATTGTTCAGCAGATTGACCTAACCAACATCTCAGAACAAACCCCTTCAGCTTATAACTTAAAATTTCCCTTTCATATTTGACATTATAACTTTGTTTTACAGGATTTTAAATTTTTGATTTTGGTTTCAACAGTAATTAGTACTAATTCTAAAATCTTTAAAACGGCATTTTACAGAAAAATATTTAATCGACGACCCCCTTCCCCCCCCCCCTCCAAAAAAAAGGCTAAAAAGCATAAACATGAATTTTACTTTCCTTTTTCGAACCAATCGGGGTTCTCAATCTATTGTTTTTACTTGTTTTAAAAGCACTTAATATATTTATAAAGCTAGTTGTTGAAATAATTTTAGAAATACCTTAAAATTGGGGATTCTCCTGGGATATGATTCTTAACCTTAAAAAGAACAAAACATAAAAAAATGAAAGTGTTACTTACTAGACAAAAAAATGTATTTAATGTCTGTTTGATAAAAAGGAATTTGTACTTTATCCCTGATCAGATAAGGGTTTAAAGGGGACGGATATGACTATTGCGCCATAAATAAAGGGACACATAAAATTTCGACTACAGTTCCTTTAAAATATCAAAAAAAATTGAAGATTATCTTTAAATTAACATAACATATTTCAAAACAGACAATTTGTAAATTTTACCTCAAAATATGCAAAGAGTACAATTGCGGTGTATGAGGCCAGAAATATGAGAACATGCCAGAACCCATGGAGATATGGGAACCCAATACCAGACCAGAACTCACAAAACAGCCTAAACAGATCAGATCCATAAATATTAAAAACTTTACCAGAACTCACATAAGATATACAGAAATATATAAACCCCATTAATATTGTAACCTTTACCAGAACTTACAGAACAGTACAGATAGATCAGAAATATATAAACCCCATTAATATTGGAATCTACACCAGAACACACAGAACAGTACAGATAGATCAGAAATATATAAACCCCATTAATATTGGAACCTACACCAGAACTTACAGAACAGCACAGATAGATCAGAAATATATAAACCCCATTAATATTGGAACCTACACCAGAACTTACAGAACAGTACAGATAGATCAGAAATATATAAACCCCATTAATGTTGGAACCTACACCAGAACTCACAAAACAGCCTGCATAAATCAGGGATATAGAGACTAGATAAAAATAAATATTATAAATAATAAATAGATAATAATAGAAAAACTTTGGTGCCCTGGAAGTAATAGAGAAAGGTCTAATTATTTATGTGAAATTACTGTTGAAAAGCTCCTCAAGTTTTATTTTGAGAAACTCACTTTTATTTGGTTAAACGTAGGAAAATTGAAACCTTTTTTAATCAAAAAAGCTCGAAAAGGGAAGTTATGATTGAAAACATACTTAAAATTTTGAATTTTGAAAAATAATCAGTTTCAAATAAAGAAAACGAGAAGTATTTCACTGTTTTCCGGTTTTCACTGTAATAATTGAGAATATACTTTACCTATCGTTAACCCAGCAAAATATTGCTAAGCTCCAGAGAAGAATACTTCGCTTCCCCAGGCTCACCACCCTAACGTCATTCTCAACCTAACAGATGAAGATTAATAAACTAGTTGGAGAACCCGGAGTTGCCCTGGTTTATATTATTTATAGCTGATCTTACCGATAACCCCCACTTGGTATTGATTCATGATTTGAGCTTAAATGCCCAGCGTTGCCCGTGGAATTTAAAAAATTTCTGATTTTTTTTAATATAAGGGACTGTTACCTATATAAGAGACTGTTACCTATATAAGGAACTGTTACATTTATAAGGGAATGTTACCTATATAAGGGACTGTTACCTATATAAGGGACTGTTACCTCTATAAGGGACTGTTACCTATATAATGGACTTTTATGTAAACTCATTAGAACAGGAGGCAGAACAAGGAACAGTACATATATATAAATGTGAGCTTAGAGCTTTATTAGAGAAATAAAAGTAGTGGGGCGCCTAAATCTTTTATCGGTTATATGAATTAACGAAACGGACAGGCTTATCAAGTATTGTCTCTTTGCTTTTAATAATTAACTTTCCTTTCAGAAAACAGTTAATTCGCTAAACAAATTGTGTTTTGTTAACAATCTCAATTATTTAACGGTGTTAACGTAAACTGCCTTCAAAGTTAACGGTCAACAGTAGTTATGTTGAAATTTCAGAAAATACAGAAGTCAACAGTCAAAAACATCCGCACAATTTTTTTAAATTTTTTTCCTTTTTTGATGTTCGAGTAATATTTTTTGTTCGTTTATTTTCTTCCCTTAAGTAATTGTACTAGTTGTTTACCTTTAACTGTAGTGCAAGCAGTACACTAGCGGGAACACTCAATGTAAACAAGAAAAATGCATTTACAACCTGAAAACATGATTCAAAATATAAAAATGATTTTTTAAAATAATATTTTACGATAATAGGAATTTTTCCGCGCTCAATAATATAAATTGTTTTCATAATTAATTAATTAAGCATAGTTTCTTTCATTCCTTTTATGTTATGGATTAAATTATTATTAAATTAAATTATTCTAAAAATTGGACAAAAATAATGATAAAATCGACGAAATTTACAAATAAACAAGGGTGTTCTAAAAAAGCGCTCTAATCACTCAAAAAGAAGACATTTTAATGCTCTTGGCCGCCATCATTGAGCTATAAATTAGGCCTAACAGTATTCATAATTAAAAATGCTAAATAATCCCTTTGGAAAGTATCATAACAAACTTCTCCTTCTCCAACTTCAGTTAAAAAAACTGTGACTCGTGTTTCTAAAATTCATATCGTCGATTCAAGCCTTTAAAATTTTCTCTATTTAAGAATGAATGAGTTATCCATGTTTTTCTAGCTAAAGATTGTGCCTTTTCTGTAAAGTGACTGCATACGGATTTATGCTGCATAGACAATGATGGAGATTGACAGAATTTTAGACATTTCAAGAAAAAAGGTATGATTATGAATAGGAAAAATCTTTAAGCAGGACTTCTCAAAATTAAGTTGTCAGCCTTTTAAATTTAATTTATAAATTACTTACTGGTTGAAGGAAGCCTAAAAATGTTGCTAGGGTGGCGCCGAGCATACACACTACTGAGAACTTTCTTCGACCTTCGGGGTCTTCACGCCAGCTGGGGGGCAGAGCAGCCCGGGGGTACCTGCATACATTAGATCATTCATTAATTCATCCTTTCGATCATCCTTTCTTTATATCATTCATTCCTTCATTCATAATTTCTTCATTCATCCTTTTATTCAATAATTTCTTCATTCATCTATCCATCCTTCTTTCTATTCTTTCATTCATTAATCCTTTCTTGCATTTCTTCATTAATCCTTTCTTGCATTCCTTCATTAATCCTTCATTTTATCAATACATTTTTCAAGACAATGTTGTGCAACATGATTCATAAGAATAAAATGAAAAATGTTTACTGTTTTATTGAACATAATTTTTACTGTTTTATTGCACATTATTTTCATCAAAATTATTTTAAATGGAAATTAAATCTGTTCGACACTTTTCGAACAAAAAAATTAAATAATATTAGGAGTTTTACTTTCTAGTGTACAAGTTATGATTTTTCAAGATTATTTTTTTATCGAAATAGTAAAAAATCACGACTTCAAGCTTTTTAAAGAATGATATTCTAAAATATCAATTTTCCTTTACAGCGACTGCAAACGTATTTTTAAGTGACCCTCGATTATAGTGTCGAAAACCTTTATCTGATCAAGGTAGAATTTTAAATATGTATATCCATGTTTTGAAAACTGTTAAGTGTTTTTTCATTTGTGGTTTCTCTGCCAAAGTGACCAGCGCATTTCTTGCTTCAGAAATAATGGAGAAATTATCTAAATTGAACACTTTTAATTATAATGCCCCTTAATAAAATTACGATGACATTCTTTTTTTTAATCTTACCATAATGAGAATCCAGCCATTATTACCCAAAGAATTGCCATTTCATCCAACAACTGAAATAAAATTTACAGTGAGAACAAGAAAATAGTGCAATTCTCTGTCTTCTGTTTACTTTTAACCATGAAATTTGGCCCAATATTTTGAAACTGAACTATCTCTAAAAGAGAGCTATATCAGTTATAAGAACTGCAAAATTAAAAAATAAACATTTCTAAAAATAAAATGGTTCTATATGAAGGTATGGTCACTGGTCAGTTTTAATGCTAATAAAAATAAATCTTTAAATTTAACAATACGTATTTGGTTAATATACCAAAAAAATTATGTAACCCCCCCCCTGCAGTAGAATATAGAACTAACGAAAACCATTGTCCGAACTTGCCAACATTTTGTTCTAGTGCTAAGCAGTGCTCAGGATCCATTAAATTTGGATGCGGATCCGGATCCTGGATCCACACTTGAAAAAAATCCGGATCCGGATCCAGGTTATTTCTATATTTACTGATTTTTTTTAACAAAGCAGAATTTTTAATTTTTTTTTTCTTATTTTTTTCGCTTATTTTTATGCCAAAACTTGATGAACTTTTCAGTAATCAGGAAATTTTATAATCTCTCTTTTTCAAAAGTTCAGATTTGGGTTTTGATGGTAAATTTTTTTTGCAGTTTTTGGTTGATATTTTGCCCCTTGAATCCGGATCAAAGGGTCAAAATATCAACAAAAAACTGGATCAAAAATTCTTTTTGCTCTCTAAGTCCAAGTCTGAACTGTTAAAAAAGAGAGTTTATCAAAAATGTTCATGAATTGGATCCGGATCGATTTTTTTCCAGTGCGGATCCAGGATCCGGATCCGGATATAGATCTGCATCAAAATCAATTGGATCCTACGCCCTGAAAATCATGAAAAGAATGTTAGGCATGTCAAAATTTGAGAGAAATCCCTAATATTCTATTTCTATGTTCGAACAACGTTTTAGTGATTTCGAAATACTTTCAGTAGTTTGTCAAATATGTATTGATTTTTAATCACTCCATNCCCCCCTCCCATGGTAAAACTAGACTTTACCACACTAGCATGCTATTTTATGTTAATAAAATATTTATAATTCTGAACTTGAATTGCAGAATTTATATGGATTCCAAATTGTTCATATATTAACGTTTCATTAATACAACATTTTTCAAAGAATCTATATCATTGAAATATCATTTAAAATAATAAAATCATTTAAAATAATAAATGTGTGACTTTATAAAAATAGATGTTGATTGTTGATACTTTTTTCATGCAGGGATAGTTAGTTCAAGTGAACAATAAAACTTTTAACTAATTTACACAACTTTACTTCTTGAGAAACGAAAAATAAAGTAAAAATTTTACAGTAGTCTAATTAGATGTATAGGAACATATTTCTCAACAGAAATTTGTCAATAAATCAATGCTAAAATCGATTATTTCGTTTTCATTATTATATTGAATTTCTAATTTTCTTTGAATTTATTCGCAGATTTCTTCAAATTCTTCAAATGTCATCTTTTCAATAATAATTCTAGAAAATCTGCGAACATCTTTGTGAATAATGAGAAACCAGAATAATGAGATAATAGAAACTAATAATTGAACAAGATTACTTATTTTCGATGATAAGATAAATTTTTATTTTCTCAACATGTTCCTATACATGACGTCTGTAGTTTATTGTAGAACTTTTTTATATTCTATGTCGACATTATTTAATGGTCTAAAAAAACTAATTCTGAAAACGTATCCACCCCCAAAGTAGAAGTTTTGAACATCGAAGTTGCGCTCAAACTCAGGATTTACAGATCTTAAAAACGTTTAATATGTCTCAAATGAATCCGAAAGAAACTTTCCACAACACTGCATACTCAGTTCAACTACCTTTCATAGCCGGTCACTCCCTTTAAGCACCTTCATCCCCCCAGATCAGAGGTGTATATTTCTAAGTATTCCCCCCCCCCCTCCTGCTGGGGGTAAAAATATGCTTTTCAACAAAAATTTATTCATTTACAAAAAACCACATTTATTTTCCCAAATTCCCAAAAAACATCCTTAATTTCTGAAGCAAAAAGTATTTTCAAAGGGTGGGGAAAAGATTCTTATGAAAATATACACCCCTGCTCCAAATTAACATTTTTGTTTATTTCTTTATATTGCTGAGTACTGACCTGTCCTAGTAAGCTGAGAGTGGCATGAAAATATGCTGAGGATAGACCGACAACTATCAATAAAAACCAAACTATGTGAATACCTAAATTATAAAAAAGATAAAATCTATTTTTAAAAGAACTTTAAAGGGAGTGTCTGGCTAGACATGGTAGTTGAGCTGAGAATACAGTATTGTAAAGAATTTTTTAGAATTAATTTTAGACCTATCATACGTTTTTACGGTGCTCGAATAGGTCTCTAATAAATGAATCCCAAATAAATGAATCCTAAAAATATGCATTCTCAGCTTAACTACCATGTCTAGCCAGACACTCCCTTTAAATTTTTCATGTCTTCTAAACCCTTAATCTGTGCAACATTGGGTAAGATATCAAGGATATCTTTTTCTCATTTTGCTTAGAAAATTAATAGTTTAACTAAAAAAAGATATCTCATATAACCCTGAAAAAGGTTGTCGACATTCCCTAGAGTTTTCGACAGTCCCTAAGGTTGTCGCAGTTTCTAGGGTTGTCGACAGTCCCTAGGGTTGTCGACAGTCCCTAGGGTTGTTGACAGTCCCTAGGGTTTTCGACAGTTTCTAGGGGTTATCGACAGTCCCTAGGGTTGTCGACAGTCCCTAGGGTTTTCGAAAGTCCCTAGAGTTTTCGACAGTCCCTAGGGTTGTCGACAGTCCCTTGAGTGTTCGACAGTCCCTCGGGTTGTCGAAAGTTCCTGGGGTTTTTGACAGTCCCTAGGGTTGTCTCAATTTCTAGGATTGTCGACAGTCCCTAGGGTTGACGACAGTCCCTAGGGTTGTCGACAGTTCCATGGGTTGTCGACTCAATTTTTAAGTTTTTAATTTAGGAGCTTTAAAAGCGAGTTGGTTTAATGTTTTCTGCTAAAAACTACGATAATGTTTTAGTTGTTAAAATATTTAAATACAATTTAAAGGCACTAACCTTTCCCGCATTTGTTTGCGTATGGTTTATGTAAACTCATTAGAACAGGAGGCAGAACAAGGAACAGTACATTAGATATTGTGTTAACAAACTCAGCTGAACAAGGAACAGTATATTATGTATTGTGTTCACAAACTCTGCTGAACAAGGGGAACATTATATTAGATATTGTGTTCACAAACTCTGTTGAACAAGGAACAGTATATTAGATATTGTGTTCACAAACTCAGCTGAACAAGAAACAGTATATTAGATATTGTGTTCACAAACTCTGTTGAACAAGGAACATTATAATATATATTGTGTTAACAAACTCAACTGAACAAGGAACAGTATATTAGATATTGTGTTCACAAACTCAGCTGAACGAGGATCAGTATATCAGATATTGTGTTCACAAACTCTGCTGAACAAGAGGGAACAGTATATTAGATATTGTGTTCACAAACTCAGCTGAACAAGGAACAGTATATTAGATATTGTGTTCACAAACTCTGCTGTACAAGGAACAGTATATTAGATATTGTGTTCACAAACTCAGCTGAACAAGGAATAGTATATTAGATATTGTGTTAACAAACTCAGCTGAACAAGGAATAGTATATTAGATATTGTGTTCACAAACTCAGCTGAACAAGAAACAAGGAACATTATAATATATATTACTATATATTTTACATCATGCTCAAAACTAATATGCTATATCTCGACTTAACTTCAAAATTATAGTGTATTATAACCATTCCCCATTTCATTTTCCACAAACGCTCCACCCTGGAAGTTTCAATGAACTAGTGCTGCCAATTATAAACTTAAATGACTTTTATTCTAATTTTTATCAACTAAATTAGAAAAGTTGAATTGAAAACCTGTGTGCATATTTACTTTGAGCTTAAAATATTATGAATATTGTCAAATCCACAAATATATTGATAATTTTTGCATTCTAGACTAAAATGGTCGTATCTCTTGTTTTTGTTATGTAATTTCTTAGTACTATCTAAATTAATAACAAATCTCTCGGACTTGCCTGTATTAATAAATAGATAAAAAATTGTCATCTGCTTTTTAATGGGAGCTTGTCAGTTTTTACAGATAGTTTGGGCCAAATCAGTTCAGGATGCTTGGACAGATAGTAAATATATAAGGGAGGACTGTTACACACATAAGATATTGTTACTTATATAAGAAACTGTTACCCATATAAGGAAATGATACCTATAGAAGGAACTGTTACCTTTATAAGGGACTATTATCTTTAAAAGAGACTGTTATCTATATAAGGGACTGTTACCTTTATAAGGGACTTTGATCTATATAAGGGACAGTTACCTGTAAAGGGACTGTTACCTATATAAGGGACTGTTACCTATATAAGAGACTGTTACCTATATAAGGAACTGTTACATTTATAAGGGAATGTTACCTATATAAGGGACTGTTACCTCTATAAGGGACTGTTACCAATAAAGGCCTGTTACCTATAAAGGGACTGTTACCTATAATGGGACTGTTACCTAGATAAGAGACTGTTATCTATATAAGGGACTGTTACCTATAAAGGCCTGTTACCTATAAAGGGACTGTTACCTATAATGGGACTGTTACCTACATAAGGGACTGTTATCTAAATTAGAGACTTTTTCATACCTATATAAGAGACGGTTACCTATATAAGGAACTGTTATCTTTATAAGGGACTGCTACCTTTATAAGGAACTGTAACCTTTATAAGGAACTGTTACCTATACAATTGGAACTGTTATCTATTTACCTATATAAGGGACTGTTACCTATATAGGGGACCTTTACCGAAATAAGGTAGTTTGATCTATATAAGGGACTCTTATCTATATAAGATGACTATTATCTATATAAGAGACTGTTACCTATATAAGGGACTGTTACCGCTATAAGGGACTGTTACCTATATAATGGACTGTTACCTCTATAAGGGATTGTTACCTATATAATGGACTGTTACCTCTATAAGGGACTGTTACATATAAAGGGACTGTTACCTGTATAAGGGACTGTTACCTATACAAGGGACTGTTACCTATAAAGGTATTTTGATCTATATAAGGGCTGTTATCATACAAGGGAATATTACCTAATACCTATAAAGGGGACTGTTACCTCTATAAGGGACTGTTACCTACATTAGGGACTGTTACCTATATAAGGGACTGTTACCTATATAAGGGGAGACTACATAGTTGTCCTCACACCAGTCCACAGGACTAGACTCTCTTTCAAGGGATATATACATCCTATAATAATAATAATAATAATAATGGTGACAATATTAACATTAATAATAATAATAATAATAATAATAATAATGGTAACAATAATGATAAGAATAATAATAATAATGGTAACAATATTAACAATGATAATAATAATGATAAATTTATCTCTAAGGAAACTTAAAAACCGTTTTCATGGAGTTCACTAGTCAGAACTGTTTTGTAAAATAGGCATACTCAACAAAGTTTTATCTCTATATTCAAGGTGAAAACTTTTAAATTTGAGAGATTAGGGCTTCATCCTTGTACGCCACAAGGCCAGAGAGAGAAAATATAGGAAAATGTAAAATCAGGAAAATATACACCCCTGTTTTAAAACTTACATTTGTTTTATCCACCCTCAATCAAATAATTACATGATCTAAAAATTCAAGGAATAAAACTAGAAGATAATTATTTAAATCTCTAAGTTTTATTTTAATAAGTTTAAGTCCAAGAAATATATTCCAAATTTGAATTAGTTTCGAGAAGTTAAAAAATGTATTGATTAAAGGGAAAGTAAAAATCAAGATCAAAATAAAGTTTTATATATTTTGATGACTTTTTTGCTAGTTCACCCTGTAATAATGTTACCTGAGGGTTTAAATCAGTAAATCTGTGGAAAGTATCAAATTACTTCAGTATCTGATTTCAATCAGGACTGATTAGGAATGTAGCTGATAAGACTGATTATTGATATTACTGTGGGACTGATAAAAGTCTGTTCGCTGAAATTAACTTTTCTGATCTTTGTTCGATTAACTGATTAACTGATTAACTGAATAACTGATTCACTTTTTTCCCTTCACGGAATAAAAAATTTCACACTATTCAAATTTGAAATTTTTTAATTCTAATTGTTGAGATCCGTCACCGACAAATTATCACAACGTAGACCCCTGACAACCTACCTGAAAATACAAATTTTAGAATAAAGTGGATTTTCTAGGGAAGGGTAAATTTTAACGGTTTGAGCGCGTAGAGCGGAGATTTTTTTTTCCCCCCCCCCCCAAGAAATTTTTTACCCCCCCCTAGACCATGGACCATGTACAACCCCATTCATGATGTATATCAAATTATGGGTTTTAGCTGGGTTTGATTTCAATTTCCCAATCATTTCTGGGATTAACAAACTCCATCAAATAAAAGGCTTCCTTTACCACCTTTCAGCTTTCAACTTTCTTTATTTATACCCTAAAGGTTGTCCACTAGAAAGGTTTAAACAGATTATAAAATAGCAAATCCACCAATATGAAAACTCCTCGATGATCAGCCACCTGTACCCTTGGGAGCAAATTAGCTGCTGTGTTTTGAAGAATATTCGTCATAAAGAAGATTTAGGACATGAAAGAGGAGTGGATGAAAATGCTCTTCGGTAGGTTCTACATCAAAAACTACCGTGCCAACTAAATTCCCCTGAAAGTTAACCTTGGCTTTACTGGAAAAAAATATTGTCATACATGCACAGAGACTGCCTTTGGAGCTAGTGTTTCTCATGAAATTTGTCCTAAGTCAAAATCCAATCACCCAGCATAACTTTAAAACTGATGAGTAAGAGCGTTTTTTCTGAAGTCTCTACCCCCAAGATTGTAGGGGGGTAATTACCCCAGGATTCTAGGGGTGGGGTAATTAACCCCAATAACCATTAAGTGCAGCAAATAGTTCCGATTTTTTTGATGGGACCTCACATGACAAGAAAGGTTTATGGCAAGTAAGAATTCAGAAGTATTTTTAAAACTTTAATTAAAGGTAACAGGAAAGCCTACGACATTTGTTATGTTATAACTTAAATGTAGAAACGGAAAGGTTTGCTTTTTAAGTCTCATCGTTCTGCAATAACTAAATTTCCGTAGATTTTTTTTTATTAATTTTAGGAGTTTTCAGAAATCATAGAAGTCAATTTTTTTTTCAATTTCGACCGTCCATAAGCCTTCCCTGGGGTCATTTGAGTTGCCACGAAAAAATGTGGCCAATTTGTTTACAAACAAAGAAACAGGCTAAATTTCTCAATTGAAAAACTGTTTCTCACCCACTAGAATCTTTGGTTTGGTTCCTCTTCCTTCCAAGTTTACATGATTCTGAAACAAAAATAAGTTTAAGTTAAAAAGTGTTAAAAATTTGAAGAAAAAAAAGAGAAATATTAATCCTCAAAATTGCTACCATAATGTTAAAAATAGATAATTAACTATTTTTTTTAAAACAAATCCTTCATAAATATAAATATTCAACATTGAACTAAAAAATATCAAATTTAAACTCTACCCCCCCTCCCCCTTCCTCCCCTGTTTAAAAAAAAACTTTCTGTGTGCATATTTTAGTATTCCTTGATGAAATAACTTTCGAGAAAATTTCTAAAAATAGATTTGAACTTTAACTACTACTATCCACACAACATCTTGATTCTAGAATTTAATGCACGGTAAACTGAGAGTGGGAGGGTGGGGAGGTGGGTTATAAAAACAGAGATAGAAATATATTGAGATTGAGAAGACAAACTAGCTACAGCTGGTTCAACTACTTCTTAATTAGCTCTAGTTGAGCATCCTTTTTATTTGTCAGACTTAATGGAACTGTGAAGGCGTAAATTCACGTGCAAGGAGTTTCCGATTCACAGAATACCATTTAACCCAAATAGATTCTAGTAGAGATGTATTCTTACGTCACAAGTGTCAACTTAGTCTGTGTGTCCGTCGGTCCGACAACATTATTAAAACAGTGATAATATAAGAAGTGCTTATCTTACAGCGAAATAAGTGCAACGTGTTCTTTATTTCCTGTCTTTACACGTTTTTATTTTATCTTGGAAAACGTGTCAGAAAATTTTGTTATTCTTGTTATATTCGACACTGTGACGTCGTGAATAATTGGTCCATTTCTCTGTTGCCACCTATTGTACTTGATAATCTTTTTGATTAATAATTTTAACCTTTAACTGACCCAGGAAGCGCTTCGTCTGGGATATAAGGCAAGCTGTTTTGTAGAAATTTTACTATTTACATTCAAATCTTGGAAATCCGCATTGGCCAGAGAATTCCAAGATTTTCAAGGAATATATGTAACCAGAGAATTTCAAAATTTTCAAGGAATATATGTAACCAGAGAATTTCAAGATTTTCAAGGAATATATGTAACGTCAGCTGTGTTGAGTATAAACTGTACACTCCAGCTTTAAGGCAAATATTAAACACCTTTTTTAAAGATAAACACATATGCCCTTAGAAGGTAAGTGAACGGTTTAAAGGGTACCGTTGTAAATCAGACATCCACCTCTGTGCATGGAGGGTTATCAAAATTTACGCTCACAGTCCCTTAAAAGACCTTTTATAGATTCTCGCAGACCAGGGGCGAAATTTTTTTTTAAATTCTCAGGATATTAAAATAACTGGGGTTTTAAGCACCAGTATTTACTGGCGTTTATATGATTTCCAACCCTGGAGTTTAAGAATAAATACTGTAATTTTAAATAGTTTGTTAATTTTCGTAGTTTCGGATCGGCAGCTTATCAATATTTCTTCAAATTCAGCTAATTTTCATCAAGTTTTTTTAGTTGATTTACATTTAAAATTTGTGTAATTATTTTGTAAATTTAATCAAAAAAAAGGGTTGTCTGCAAGATCTGTTTGTGTAAAATTGAAATTGTCTAATGTGTAAAAAGATATCTGAATATCTGAATATAAATTGGAATGTATTCAAAACAATGACAAAAGCATAAATAAGAACAACTTAAAATGATTTGGAACTTAAATCCTGAACTTTAGACATTTAACAATAAATATAAATTATGAAGACGCCAAACTAAATTTTCAAAAGGCTAACTATGTCCAAAAGGCTAACTATGTCCAAAAGGCTAACTATGTCCAAAAGGCTAACTATGTCCAAAATTTAAGAAAATCTTTATTAACTCCATGGGCGGCTGACTAATTATAAAGAATGGCTTGGTTCCTTTGTCTAATACACAAAAATATCTTACCAAAACATTTCGTACATTCAGAAATCTTTAAAGTTTTGTTCAAAATATTTCTGTAGACCTTTAAAAATGTTTTATTTTCTTGCAGACAGCAGTTATTCCAATCATTGTGACACCCTACAATGCATACTGTAATATCAGAACTTGTTTTGCAGTCTGTTCAGCGGAACAATATCAAAAGTCAACAATTGATAAAGTTGTGCAAAATCTAACTTGAATGTAATTATACAAAAGCAATATTGTCAAAATGTAAAATGTACTGTAAATAATGCACAAGCTGTCTAAAATAAGTTAGAAATAAATAATTTTTGAATGAAAAATAGGCAATCCATTATCCATTCTTAAATCCGATATCTTTATTAAGATATATATAATACGCAATCCATTATCCATTCTTAAATCCGATATCTTTATTAAGATGTCGGAAACGCGTTAACAAAGAATTACATTTTTAAGCTGAAATTTGGTCTCTGAAAAAAAATCAGGTTTTATGGAAAAATTAGAGAGGCAAAATTTAGCATTTAGTACATATAAAAATAATATAATCAATGAATAATTTTGGTTTTTATTCAGTAAAATATATTTAAAGCTGTGAAGCCATCCATGATAAACAAAATTAAAGGAAATACACATTCAGGCATTATTCAAGTGATATTGGACCAACAGTTCATGCTTATATAAAGAAAAGACGCCATTATTTAAATATAATTAGAATCAAAAATAATTTCATTTCTTTATATTCCCCTTAGCAACCTGCAACAGAGCTCACTACGTGGTCCAAGCTCGAAACAGCCATGAAAGCTGAGCTAAGCCACATGCTATAAGTGCAAACACAACAGGAGACACATGTGACAAATAAACTTTGTTAAGAGAATATATAAATATACAAATATCAAGCCGGGCCCACCATCCCTCCCTCCCCCTTTCCCAACCCCAGGACAATATGTTGCCTGTAGACCCAAGCAATTGCCAACCCACTCGCCAATATATTCCCATTTTTTTATTTTAATTTTAATTTAAAAAACTGTATGGAAAACAGTGCCTAGTTAATGTTATAATTATACAAGGATCCACTACTTTTAATTTACAAAACAAATTTTTTTACCTTTACACCTATTGTTTCCATTTTTTGTATTATTTAAAGACGTTTAAAGAAACTTCACATTCTGATATTAATATTTTTTTTTGTTGCAAAATACGTCGAACCGATGATTTTTTATGTGCATATTTGTCTCTTAAAAAGTATAAGGTTTTAGGAGTTCTTAGAGGTTCCACTAGAATTGTATCACTTCTAAAAATTTCTAAATTTTAAATTTAAACATTTGCTTTTCTTGTTCTACTTTTTTTAACATTAAAATAAATCTATAATTCTTATTTCTAAAAGCTGTTAGTTCATCGTCGAAAAATACTAACAATCCTCCACCAATTTATATTAAATATAGTGTTAACAATAAATATGTAACTATCCTTATCCTTTCGTTTCTTTTTCCTTTTAATTCAATTTTTATATATTTTAGAATTGGGGGGAAATATTCCCACAACCTCTACTTTTAGAGGTTTTTAAATGTTTTCTCCTGAAACACTTAAATGTATGTTTTTGTTAAATTTCATAAATATTTTTTTTACTTTTACTTTTTACGCTAAATGTTGAACCTGCGAGAAAATGCATGTAAAAAAAGTGAACCATTTATTAATGTCGTTTTTTCTTTATATTTACGCTTAGAAAAAAAATAATGAAAGTTCAAAATAAGCAAACTTTTACAGAATACAGTTTTGAAATATTTCACAAGTGTATTTGTGAATTGCTTGTGTGATTGCTTTTAAAAGTCAAAAAAACCTTAAAACCATAACTAACTGCACTTCATTTTAGAGTAAAACCTAGCCCTACCTTACCTGTCAATCCTTTCCTCTTTTTCTTAAAAATCAATGTAAATTTCGAAAACTTGATCTTCATATTCAAATATATTAAAAATGTTTTCGTGAAGTGAATTTTATGCATGGCACGGATGACTGATTAAATCTGATGAATTCTGTCATGACAAACAAATCTTTCAAAAACTGAATTCAAAATAAAAAAGATTTAGCAGAAAGGGAGTAAACACCTAAAACTGTAGATGAATTAACCTAACATTTCTACAACCTGGGACCAGATTGATAGTTGGACCACGTATACATTGTTCAGCCACTTATTTTGTGCCCCGATTGAGATATATGTAAATATTCAACATGTTTGTAATCAAATAAGTCAACGACATTAGGTAGCAAAGCAATGGTATATATTCAAAAACTACCCCCCTCCCCCCTGGGGAGGGAAGGAACAGAAATAACTAAATACAAAAAATTCTTACCGCAAACTTCATTTATCTCACACAAAAATCATTGATTTTTCAAGAGAATATATATTTGCTGGTTCAGCAAACTACTATTTTGAGTATATTTGCTGGTTCAGCAAAGAATTATTTTGAACATATTTGCTGGTTCAGCAAACTACTATTTTGAGTATATTTGCTGGTTCAGCAAACTACTATTTTGAGTATATTTGTTGGTTTAGCAAAAAACTATTTTGAGTATATTTGCTGGTTCAGCAAACTACTATTTTGAACATATTTGCTGGTTCAGCAAACTACTATTTTGAGTATATTTGCTGGTTCAGCAAACTACTATTTTGAGTATATTTGTTGGTTTAGCAAAAAACTATTTTGAGTATATTTGCTGGTTCAGCAAACTACTATTTTAAGCATATTTGCTGGTTGAGCAAAAAACTATTTTGAGCATATTTGCTGGTTCAGCAAACTACTATTTTGAGTATATTTGCTGGTTCAGGCAAGAATAATTTTAAGCATATTTGCTGGTGCAGCAAATAATTATTTTGAGTACATTTGCTGGTTTAGTAAATAATTAATTTGAGTATATTTGCTGGTTTAGCAAATAATTATTTTGAGCATATTTGCTGGTTTAGCAAAAACTATTTTGAGTACATTTGCTGGTTTAGTAAATAATTAATTCGAGTATATTTGCTGGTTTAACAAATAATTATTTTGAGCATATTTGCTGTTTCAGCAAATAATTATTTTGAGCATTTTTGCTGGTTCATGGAAATATTGATTTTGTCAGAAA